AACCAAAGATAGAGGGTAAGGAGTTGCTAGGAAGGCACAGTATCAAATACTTATCACACTTGCCCAACTCTGCAGTTTAACATACTTCTTCAAGTTTAATCTGGTTAAAATTAGGTTTTACATTGTAGAGTCAATCATTAAGTTTAACAGGGAGACAAATGGTGACCTAGTTAGGGGATGAGAGAAGTTAGGTGTGCGGCAGAAGTGAACAGCCACCCAGAGGACTATAAGACCTGACAATGTAGATTTGTGAGATCACAGAAAACCACACGTATGTATGTTGGATGGTGCAAGTTCTTAGTCACTATGTACTAGGGACTCTGAGATGATCGAAAATCCAAAAGCAAAATATTTTTATATGATTTAGATGTGCTTACTAAAGGAGTGCTGCCCTCAGATATTCCACGGTAAAAGTCCAACTAAACCATTATTTTAAAAACAAAACAAAACAAAACATAGTATCCCCAAGAAATAACTGTGCTTACCTGTCTACATAAAGAGACATCGTCATTATTAACATCAGTCTTCGTCCTGTGTCAGGGGATCTTCAGTTGCATGTTTGTTCCCTCCCACCTGCCCAACAGGACATTGACAGGTAAAAAGTCAATCCTGTGCAGAACAGCTTAGGTTTCTCTACCTTGATGACCAAACTCTTCGCCCAAGAACACTTTGGAAACTTATTAAAATCTTCCCCACTCTATAATTTTCAATATATGAGAAAATGTATCCCACTAAAACATTAGCAGTGTCTCCAGTTATTCTTGCAGAAGAGTATCTTTCTGGGAATGAAATATGCAAAAATTAAATGTACAGAGAAGCTATCAAACACTGCTTCAAGTAAAGCAAAGTAGTACCTTCCTCTGAAGAAGCTACTTGAACTTTTAACATGCTGTCACACATTGGGCGACCTAAGGTCATAAAACACGTATCATTTGCCAAATTCACTGTCCTTGCATCATTTAAGTTGTAGCTTTTATAGCTAGTGAAGGACTTGAGAATAGACTGAGAAATACTGAGTGGTTGTGACAAGGGGAGGGAGGGAAAAGGAAGAGTGTGAGGGGAAGAAGAGAGTGTGTCCACCTACAGACAGGTCAGGGAGTAGAAGCCATCACAGGGACAAAACATTGGATCAGTTGAGGAATGACGTGGCTATTAGCTGAGGAAGAAAGACCTTGTAAATAAACAGGGAGAGGCAGAAAGGTCGGGGCATTGGAGCCATATTCAAAGTTCTGCATTTTTTTTTTTTTTTTTGCAAACAAAAAGAAAACAGTTTTTACAGAAACTGGAAAGACCAAAGATACATCTTGTGTTTTGAGACAGGGTTTCTGTGTGTAGTCCTGGTTGTCCTGGAATTCGCTCTGTGGACCAGGCTGGCTTTGAACTCAGAGATCTTTCTGTCTCTGCCTCCCGATTGCTGGGATTAACCTGGGCCACCACAACTCAGTTCCAAAGATGTATCTTAATGGGGTCTGGAAAAATGAACGGTGTGAGACTTGACTGGAAAGACACTGAGGTCTTCAGATGATGACTCTTCTTTCTTGTATTTCCTTCCTTTCTTCCCCTGGCTTTCCTTCTACAGTCACTCTTGTAAATATCATCTAATACTAAAGGGAAAGCTCACTGGTCTCCTTTTGTTACTAGTCCCTTCAATGATCTCATTTAAAAAAAATTAGCATTCATTTACTATTTTGTACCTGCATGTGTGTATGCACACATGCACATGAGCTGTTGTGTAGGATCAGAGGACAATTTTGGGGAGCAGGCTCTTCTTTCATTGTGGGATCCAGGAATGGAACTCAGGTCCTTCAGGCTTTCCACAAGCTTCTATCTTCTCTCAATGGCTCCACTGGTCTCCTTTTAACATCCTGAATGTTCTTTTAAGATTTTAATTCTGTACAGAAAGCATGATAAAAGGAGCCCACTTCAACAAAGCTATCCAACTACTTACCCCAGGTGCTTATAAAGACATGCTAACTTTCCAGACTATTCTTAGAACTCATGTCATAGGTTAGCCTGCGCAATGCCAGCACTGCAAGGCCACTCACTCTGTGCATGAGCCCAATGACACAATCTGTTCTTGGTAGCATTTAGTTATCCATTTCAGGTAACTTCAAAGATTTATGCTGGTTCCTGCTTCCACGGTATAGTCTTTGTGACACACTAACTTCCACACTTTTCCATATACTAAGAACAAGGATTTGGCATCCATTGACTCTCACATAAAATAAGAGCGTTTATGTGAAGGTTCTCTTCCTTCCCAAGGAGACACAATAAACCATGTTACAGTATTACCCAACTAGAGCCAGACTCCTGATGACCATATAAACATCAGAACAGAAATGAAGACAGCTCCCTCCAACTCCTTCTTTGCCCAAGTGCACTTTTAGGTATTCATGATAGGTTTTGTTTCTTCATTTAGAAATCTTAGGTAGGGTATGTCCCATAAACTATTTAATACCAAGCCACCTCCAAGGTGATGAGTACTTAGCCTGCCATGATCTTCAATTAGCACCATCTTTCATACTATATAGTACCCTCATTTGCTGAGGTACTACCATTTTTAATAATAAAATTTCTTAATACCTACCTTCCAATGTTCAACCTCAACAGAATGTCTTCTTAGTAGAGAATTAGATAAATGGGCAAGACATGAAGTCTTTAGCCCTACTTTGCACACAAAGCATTTGATAAACTCAGGATTCAACCTCTTCTGAATTCTCTGGTAGCTAACTTCCTGCCTTTGGAGGTGCTATTGTTTAACACGAGACATCTCTAACTTTTGGGACTGCGCTATTTCTTCAAGCTTCATTTCACTATCCCTCCCCAGTCTAAAACCCATAGCATATAAGTGGAATTTTCTCAACTATGACTTCCAATTAAAGCTCAGTTAACTTCCTTACAGGTATCTGGGACAGTTTTGTTATAAATTATCTTCAGCCAAGCAGTAGTGGTGAACGTCTTTAATCTCAATACTCAGGAGGCAGAGGCAGAAGGATCTCTGAGTTTGAGGCCAGCCTGGTCTACAGAGAGAGTTCCAGGACAGGCTCCAAAACTACACAGAGAATCTGTTTCAAATAAATAAACAGATAATCTTCAGAAAAACTGTCAAAGTAACTACCCCAAGCTGTGTCTGTGTTGCATATTCTGATAAAGGACCTTAGCTGAAAGGCTAAGTTCTACCTCAACTGGATGACCTTGAACTACCCCAGCAACATAAATATCCTTCTAACATACCATAAAGTTCTGTTAGAGCAAAGCCACAGATATATCTTGTTCACTTTTTAATTCTAAGTGCCTGATGCAGACAACAGCAGGCACAGAATTCAATCAGCTCAACCTACTGCACCTGCCTCTAACACAATGCCACACACTCAGTGAAAAGTAGCTAATAATATTCTGCCAGCATCCTTCCTTTAGCACGATTTCCTATCTTCTCCCTGTACCAGTCATTCTACTGAAATTCTCATCTTAAGATATGGTAGTATGTGGTGATTTTGCTGTATCTCAATTAAGCGAGTCTGACTAGACAAGGGTCTGAGGACAAAACAAAAATCCCACAAACTTTCTCCCAATACTACTCTGGGGAACAGCATAGGAACGATCAGCCACCTAAGATAACCATAGTAACAGTTATCATGGGAAGCAATTACAACCAATACCGAACAGCATTACTACATTTAATGAACAGTTGAGTGTGGCCATTTCCGATTAGCTTCTCCATTCAGAATGCATTCATGGCTCTTGAGGGCAGGGATGTGTGAAGTTGACCTGCTGCTGGGTACACACCTATCACTAGGGATGCTTAGGAAGGATTTCCAGTTCTAGACCAACCTGGGCAGTACAGGAAGGCCCTAAGTTCCAGGACTCAAGAGTAAAGACAAAAGACTTCAGGTGATCATAGTGAGCAGAACAATAAGGAGTGGCTGTGACACAACTTAGGCTCCACCAGTTTATTTTGTACCAGCATTCACACTAAACTTGGAGTTAATGACATGACATGCCGGGCGGTGGTGGCGCACGCCTTTAATCCCAGCACTTGGGAGGCAGAGGCAAGAGGATCTTTGTGAGTTTGAAGCCAGCCTGGTATACAAGAGCTAGTGCCAGGACAGGCTCCAAAGCTACACAGAGAAAGCCTGTCTTGAAAAACAAACAAACAAACAAACAAACAAACAAAAACCAACAACAAAAAACAAACAAAAACTTGGAGTTAATGACATGACACATATAACAATCCATTTGAAGTCTTTGGAAGAGTATGCACATTGGCTTAAAGTGGAACAGTACTTGTGTTTTGCGTGTCTGTCCAGGTCTGGTGGGGCACACCTCTAATCCCAGTACTTGGGAAACAAGTTTGTTGGCCCAGAACGGCCAAGGTTACAGAGTGACACCCTTAGGGGGAAAAAAAATGGAGTCTGTAGACATTAGTAAAAAACGGAGCACGTGGGTGGGGGGGATGTGGGGGAGCTGGGGGACTCTGTGAGGTAGTGAGGAAAGATGTTAAGGATAAAGCAGTGTGATAATTTGTTTTCCCTAACACAAATTCAAGGGTAGTCTAAAGTAAAGAGGAAGGTAGTTAAGAAAGCTTGAGTTCAGGGAGGGTTGTGGAAATCAGATACAGCTGGATTTTGTATTGAGTAACTGTCACTCAAGCTGGGTGTGTGGCTCACGCCTGTAAATCTCAGCACCTACAAGGCACAGGCAGGCAGGAGGACAATTTCAAGACCATCCTTAATACATGGCAAGTCTCGACCAGTCTGGACAAGAGACTACATTCAGTCATTTGGAAAATCCCTCCTACATCCTTCTTGGCCCCATAAGGATCGCTATTAAGACGCCCCCAAACTAGCTAAAACAGGTTGGCCTGGAACTCAGAGCCCGTCTCATGAGATTAAAAACGAGTGTCACTAAGCCCGGCCAAACTCTACTTTGACAGGCTATATTATCTGCCAACCTCGGTGAAAATACACCAGTAAAAATAAAACTGCCGTTACACCAACAAATGATTTCAGAGAGGCCTTGTTTGCAAGCTAAGGGAGAGGAGGCATTCGTTCTACGCCGAGATGCGGGCTGCCAGGGCAGTTCCCATGGCAACCAGACGCTGTTGCAGCACACTTCTTAAGAGGTCGAGCTTGACGCCAGGGATCGGGTAAGGCGAGAATCTGCCTTGGCGGCTTCGGCTGCGGCCACCGACGGGCATTCGACGTCTGTCGGTCCGAACGCTGGGTCGCGCTGGCGGGCGAGGTCCTGCCTGATTCGGTTCAAGACTGGTCACCAGGAAGCTGTCTCCGGAGACCATCGCCCAAGCCATGGTACGTTGGTTGAGATCTCCTTGAGAGGACCGATAGGCCACCCTGTTGGCTTGATCGCCGGCCGACAGAGACGCCGAGTTCTGAGCCATCTTCAAACACTGCCCGCAGTGTTTGCCTGACGTACGTCGACCAAACTGGGCTCTCGGCAGCGCCGCAGATCACTCCAGCCCGCGTCGGAGGCAACCGTTACTGACCACAGCCGCCATTTTCAACGCAACGGCGGAAGGTACCGCCGCCGGAAACGGGCTCCCACGCGCATGCGTAGCGGCCCTGCGCTCGCGCGAGAAGGGCGTTTACGTCGTGACGTCAGAACGAGAGGACGCGGGTGTCTCTGAGAGTGCGCAGTAAGGTCGGCCGGCCACCCGCGAGCAGTCCGACTAGGCCAGAGACTGGAATCCCGGCGGAGATGGGGGCGGCGGCCGCAGAGGCCGACCGCACTCTCTTCGTGGGTAACCTGGAGACGAAGGTGACCGAGGAGCTCCTCTTCGAGCTCTTCCACCAGGTAAGGTGCGGGCACGGTCCTAGGGCGGCTGGGGCAGTCCGGGACCCACGTCGGGAGCGGAGCGCGCCAGGCCGGAACCCTGGGGCGTTCGGGTCAAAAGTGACGTCTGACGATGTGGGTGTCGGCGTCTTAGTGCCTGTGAAGGGCCAGGAACCTGAGGCGGAACCGCAGCATTACTTTCCCTTTCCTGGGTACCTCGCCTTCTCTTGTGAGTTTATTGGGCTTTGCTTCGTCTCACACGTTTCCGCTTCTCCGTTCGCTTAACTTGCTCGTGAAATTGCAGACATTGAAGTGTTTCTAAAACTCTAATAAACTTAACGTAGGAAAACAGCATTGGCATGTTTATCCCAAAAGTCCGAAAAGTTAGACCGATCCTGCCCTGCTTCATGGCTCAATCTCTGATTATAGTTGATCGATGCGGAAGTCTTTTTTTTTAAACTTTTCGAGAGACTGGGTTTCTCTGTAGCTTTGAAACCTGCCCTGAAACTAGCTCTTGTAGGCCAAGCTGGCCTCGAACTCACAGAGATCTGCCTGCCTCTGCCTCCCGAGTGCTGAGATTAAAGGTGTGCACCACTTCCCTGACTCCTGACTCCTTTCTGTTTTTAATAATATCTTTTTTTTTGAGACAGGATTTCTCTGTAGCGCTGGAACTAGCACTTGTAGGCCAGGCTGGCCACAAATTTATGGAAATCCACCTGCCTCTGCCTCCTGAGTGCTGGGATTAAAGGCATGCGCCACCACCGCCCGGCTTTTATTGAGATCTTGGTTGTTCTGGTGGAAGCTTCACCCCAGCCCCTGGCATCCATGTACCCAAAGAGTCTGAAATGTTCTGGTGGAAGTTCCACCCCAAGCCTCTTCCCCCATCTCTCTCAAACCATGCCATATCTAGGCCTGCCAAATGATGAGGGCTTCCCGAGAGATGCTCAAGACCACTCCCACAGGGTATTTAAACCGCCCCCCAGAAAACAGACATATGGTTTTCTGATCTCTTACCTGTCTCCTCTTTGGGGGGGGGGGGGGCTGGAAAATCATCCTGGAGCGGTTTATCCCTTAAACTTGGACTTTTTCTTATTCGGTTTGTTTTGGTCTGATTTGGATTGCTGCGTTGGAGGAGAGGCTTATCAGGGTGCAGAAACTTTTCATTGATTACATACTATTGTTTAAAACTTTGTGTTCTCTTTGTAGTATTTGAGACAGAAACACAGTCTCTGTAGCCTTGATAGCCTGGGACTCCGAGGCTGACTTTGAACCAATCCTCCTGCCTGCACCTCCTGACTACTGACAATACAGGCATGTGCCACTGTGTGCTTGCATTCTTGTTTATTTCTGAACTTTCAATGTTTTCCTGAAATTGCCTTGTTTAAGTTCTGAATCCTTTTCTTTTGTAGGCTGGGCCAGTAATAAAGGTGAAAATTCCAAAAGATAAAGATGGCAAGTTGAAGCAATTTGCATTTGTGAATTTCAAACACGAAGTGTCTGTTCCTTATGCCATGAATCTTCTCAATGGAATCAAACTTTTCGGGAAGCCCATCAAAATTCAGTTTAGATCAGGTAATGACTCAGGTATAGTGGTAATAAGGAGAGGCTTTTGGTTTCTTTTTCTTTCACTACTACCATTCCAGGTTGTTTGTTTGTTTGCTTTATTCCAGGTTTTTTTTTGTTTGTTTTTTGTTCTGTTTTTGTTTTTAAGACAGGTATTTTAGGCTAGCTTCAAACTCACTGTGTAGCCAAGTCTGGCCTTGAACTCTTGATCCTCCTGCTTTTATCCCCAAATGCTGGGATTGTACATGTCGATGTCATACCAGACTAATATTTTAAAGATTGGATTAGGGAGCTAAATATGAAAATACTCTGTGATTTACAAACAGTGATTTTGTTGCTTCTGTGGTTTTTGAGACAGGGTTTCTCTGTAGCTTTGGAGCCTGTCCTGGAACTAGCTCTTGTAGACCAGGCTGGCCTTGAACTTGCAGAGATCCGCCTGCTTCTGCCTCCCAATTGTGCCACCACTGCCCGGCTTTGCCGCTGTTTTGTGAAGATAGGCTAAGGCTTTCCATCCATGCAGTCCCACAGTACATCATGGCCAGATCAGCTGTTTCTGCATTAGGTAGTATCTTGTTTGGAATGCTTTCTTTTTCTGGTATTACCTACTTAAAAACCTGTGAGGTAGTCTATAGCAATTTGAGTGATGGTTTTCATTGTTTTGTTTTAGTTGAGGGCAGTTGGTGTTGCTTTTAAACTGTTTATCTCTTTTGTGGTAATTTAGACTGGATGAGACATTTCAAATTGTTGGGCTTTTTGGTTTTCAATTAGAAATTTTAAATTATGTTTTAGGAAGTAGTCACGCCTCTCAGGATGCCAGTGTGTCATATCCCCAGCATCATGTCGGAAATTTAAGTCCTACCTCCACATCTCCTAACAGGTACTGTTTCTCACTTACTAAGTCATTTGTCAGAAAGTTTCTGAAGGAATGACCTCAATGCATGAGGGAATGATTTCCTTCATAATGCTCCAGCTGTTTTGCCGCTGGCTCTGCTGGATCAATGTCATGCCTCTGTTTTCTAAGGAGGCTGGATGCAGATAGATTGTGTGGTTCTTTTGCACTAAATGAAATGCAACTATAGTCATGTGTGTTTGTAAAGATATGTCCTACCCACATAAACAGATGGAATTGAGACAAAAAATGTTTGTCATAATGATCATTCATAAAGGGCTTTCTTTGAAGAATTGAGCACATACCTGTTACCTATTGAGTGCCTCACCAAATCCTTTCTGTGTATGATCTCAGTTACTTCTTTTTTTAAAATATTTATTTATTTATTTATTATGTATGCATAATTCTGTCCATGTGTATGCCTGAAGGCCAGAAGAGGGCACCAGACCTTGTTACAGATGGTTGTGAGCCACCATGTGGTTGCTGGGAATTGAACTCAGGACTTTTGGAAGAGCGGGCAATGCTCTTAACCATTGAGCCATCTCTCCAGCCCCTCAGTTACTTCTTGAATCTACCATGAAATAGGATTTCTCTCTCTACTTTTGGTGCAGATAATATGGAATGGAGGTTAACTTGCCCAGATTTAAGCAGTTTTTAAGCAGTGTGTGGAGACAAACCTGGTTGGTCTGATCAAGCCATAGAATGATACACTGCCAGGTGGAACTTTGAATTTAGATGAGCACATGTACTTCGTGGCTACCTGTTTAATTACTATAATTAGTTCTCTTGAGAAGTAGAAAATGCTTTGAGAGAGTTTTAACAGCAGGAGATGATGCAGATGGATGAGGAACTGAAAGAAGCCAGTGCAGTGAAGGCAGTAGGGAATTTTGATGAAGTACATAAAGACTGAGTAAGTGTCTCATAGAGCTACAGTCAAGTTTTAGAGGATTTATTCTAAACAGGAAAAAAGCATTAAAATATTTTTAAGTCAAATGATGATACGAAGTTAGAAGTTTAACGAGTTACTTGATTGCAGTGGGAGAAGAATGTGTTAGAAAAGATATTAGTGAAAGAAATACCAATTAGGAAGCTATTGGCAAGTGACCTTGTGGGACTGTTGGATGAAAGTTGGTTTGAATTAAGGCATTGCCAAAGCCGGAGAGAATTGGATGGCTGCTGTGAAGAGAAATGGTGGAAGGAGGAATTATAAAAAGCATTAGTACAAAAACATTGCTTTCCCTGTGTTCTTTTTTGCCAGCCGAAATCAGTTAGTGGTGTTTAAACACTCATCAGTTGACACTCTTCAGCTACTTTCATATAACAGTCAGAGGTATCCTAAATGGAGCAAAGATCTTCTTCCCCTTAGAATTTCTTGAGAGGGTTGAATAAGTATGCTAGCCACTTTTTTTAACTTTAATCATAGGCTAGGGTGGATTATTTTAATACTCTGGCATAAAGTAAACTGTAATTTTTGCCTCTCTTAGAATCTGGACACATGATCTGCTCTGAGAGCCTCTCCCTTTCCCCCTACCTCCACCGAGTCTAAAGCAACACTAAAATGAGAAACAAATGTTATCCAAACCTTTTCACTTTAATGTCTCATCATTACCTACCTCCCTAATTTCTCAAGTTAAAGTCAAATTTAGTTTCTTTATTATTTCCTTCATTTATAGCTAGACAAAAAAAATCTCAGTCTGAACGATGGCATTGGCTTGAGGACCAATACGTTTTTGTTCTGTAGAGTCAAGGAGTTAATACTTCAGTTGTGTGCTAGCCCTGTTGTCTTTGTGTCTCCCATTGTATTGGTAAAGGTGATAGGTAACACAAGAGGAAAACAGTGTTCCCAGAAAACATCATGTTACAGAACTTTAAATGTGTCTTTTTCAGAAAGGCTGTCCTAATCAGCCGACCTAAAGTACAGTGCCCTTTGCTCCAGCTATTCCAATCCCCTAACACATAGGAACTGTCCTTGTTTTAATCACTTTCATCATTGAGAACTGTCTTGCTCATGACTAACTGGTGTTGAGTGTTTGTTGAATGATGACCACTCATCATTCCTGCTTTCTCTTTGCAGCTATGAAAGGACAGTGGGTAACATGACTCCATCAGCACAGATGGTTCAGAGGTCCTTCTCTTCTCCAGAAGATTATCAGCGGCAAGCAGTGGTAGGCAGTTTTTTTCCCAATTGAGTTGCTAAGACAAAGTCGTACTTGGGCTAAAGTATTCCTGTTACATCAGATAACTTATCACTTCTCAGTCAGTTTTATTACTTATGTCCTTTAAGCATAAGTAACTGTTTATTTTAATTCTTAATACTTTGTTGGCTGTTTAGGCTACCATGATCATTACAGTTTTAATAATTTAACACGTATCTTCTAGACCAACTTACCTGAAGTGGTTTTTGTAATATGAGACCTACCCTAAAACTCAAATCAGCTGCCTTCTGATGTTTTTTTCTTTTTTGTGGCAGTCTCACTATGTAGCACTGCTGTCCTAGAGCTCTGTAGACCAGGCTACCCTTGAACTCACAGAGATCTGCCTGTTGCTGCCTCCAGACTGCTGGGTTTAAAGGCGTTCGCCACTATGCCCAGCTTTTGTCATCAACCCTTAACAGCTTCTAAGATGCAGGACCTATTTCTGCTACTGTAGCTGTCTTTCTCAGAATCCATTCTGAATCTGCTGTGTGCTTCTCCCTTATAAAGATTTCTTTTTGTTCAGTTTATTTTCTTAACACTCAGATTGTATGCCACCTTCACAGAGATTTTCCTAGTGCTGGTGAGCGTCTAGTTTTTCCTGTGTTTGTTACAGTGATTCATAGTATAGTCATTTTGAGTGTTGGCTTATAACAGTCTTGAAAATAATAGTATGTATGAAACTTTGGTATTAGACCACATGTCATTACATTTCGCTTGGGATACATCTGGGCAAGGATGATTTTGATTTTTCTTTATTCTATGTATTGTTGATTGACTAATCCATTGGCTTTGCTGTTAAGAAGTGCTTACAATTAATGTTTCAATTACTTCTTTTCCTCTCAGATGAACAATGTTTTCAGACAGATGTCATATGCTGGGAAATTTGGTTCTCCACATGCAGATCAGTCGGGATTTTCGCCATCAGGTCAATCACATGGTCATCCCTTTAACCAGTCTTCCAGCTCCCAGTGGCGCCAAGATGCATTGTCACTACAGCGTAAAAGACAGAATTCTCACCCCTACCTGTCAGATAGACACTATAGTCGTGAGCAGCGCTACTCTGATCATGGGCCCGACTATCATTACAGAGGAGGCCGAGAGGATTTCTACTATGACGACAGGAACCATGATGGCTGGAGCCACGACTATGATAGCAGAAGGGACAGTAGTAGAAGTGGGAAATGGTCCTCATCTCGACACTAGCAAGCATTCCAGGGACATTGTTTACAGGGCCATTTTAGGCCCTCTTCATTAAGTTGTTCTGGAAATATTTCTAAAACTGCACAGAGTAGCCCCACAGTTTTCCACCTGTCTTTGAAAAAGAGAAGTTTTTCAGCCTAGCATCAGTTTCCTAGAGAAGGCAGAACTGCGCTCCACGTTTGTACCTCAGGGCTTCTGAAGAGGGAGGATTCTATACAAAAGAACGTCCCACCATTCCAGTCACTTCAGTCTAGGGAAGATGAACTGTATACATTGGTTGTATTATAAAGCAAATATTTTTAATTATCTCACCCTTTTGTGTTGCAAGGATTTTCTTGGTAATGAAATCATTTTGGTGTATATAGTAGGAAACATCCAAGTTGGTAGTCTGAAATGGCTATCTCCATTTTGTTAATAAATGAGAAAATGGAACTCAGTAATCCGTTTTATTAACAGCTTATTTAAAACAGTTTATTGGTTTTGCTTGGGGATAAATCATATTTTCTAATTCAGAATTTAAGTACAAATTCTGTGGTATGCTCTTGAATTTTATCACAATTAAACATACATTATAAATCTATACTAGTTCATTCTAAGAACTTTAAAATCTTTTCATTAAATTATATTTGATGTATGACTAGTCACTCAGGAAGTTAAATATCTACTTGTATATTTTTACATAAGAAGACAGTGTTGATAAACTCTTTTTAGAGGAACAGCAATGTTGATACATAGATAAAATGGCAAAATGTTTCACTGCAAGGATTATAGTTTTGAAATTTTGTTTAACAATACTTCCATGTTTCAAGATGCTGACGCTTGTTCATTGTAAAATCGTTTTTAAGAATTCTGTGAAAAATATGGATCCTCTTTATACCACAGCATTTATACTATGTTCCTTTTTAATATATTAAATACATAAAAAGAGAATGTGTCTCTTTATTTTACTGATATCAGAGGTATCCAGTAAGTTAGCAGTGTACTTTCAATCATGTCAGTTCACACTTTGGTTGGTAAAGATTGTGGGTCTTAACGGCATTTTCTGTAGATTTGCCTTGATGCATGGCTAGACTTTATCAACATAGATTATGGTGTAGAGCACTATGAACATTACTTTATCTGCTCTCTACAGAGAGATGTTCTAAGTTCCAGGCTCTGTGTCCCCACCTGGCATAGTGTAGCCAGATTAATAAAACCCAGAGACAGAAATTGGGGTTCAACATGAAGGTCAGAAAAGCAAAACAGCCAGCCACTGGCTTTTACCTCTACCTCAGTCTGAAATGGCATCTTGCTTCTAGGAATCTCAGAATGAGACCGTGTCTGTCAACTGTTTCCTCCCGCTTTGTATTCCTACAAAAAGTGTGCATCACTGGAATTAGAGGCATTTACCATACTACCTGGTTTCTATGACAGGCTAGTGTGGCTATTGGGATTAAAGGTGTGTGTCACCACTGCATGGTTTCTGTAAGGCTAACCAGGGCAGCTGTTTTACTCTCTGATCTTCAAGCAAGCTTTATATATTAGAATACAAATGAAATATTACTATAGCATAGGTTAAGATTTTGTTTGTTAAAATAGTTTGCTTAAGCAGTTTTATTTCTAAAAAAAACCCTGATATTTCTAGGTATCTACATGGACACTTAGTACTTTATTGGCATTTATCTAGTTTGAACTAAGTCATGTTGATCCATAGGTGATCAGAATAATCTTGGCTTAATGGGGCGGGGACTAGCCTTGGAAGATCCAGTGATTATTTTCCTTCAGTTTTACTCAGTTGAACTAATAAACTAAATATCTGTACTTTATAAACAGGGCAAGAGAGCCTCAGGATTCAATATAGACAACAGTTGAAAGCTCTGTTAGTATAACTCAGAAACCTCTTTAAAAAAGAATATACTTAGTGTCTAGGGTGTACCCTAAATTCTCAGTGATGGGGCTGTTAGTGTCAGTATTAAAAATAATGTGCAGCAGGGTCAGGGAAACTGTAGAGCCATAGCATTCCTGTTTAATTTCCAGCGGGGTTTTTGTTTATTCTTAAGTCAATGGATGGTCTCTATCTGTCACAATAAAATTAGCATAGCAAAACTGATGTAGAAGGAGAGATTTATTATAGCGATGCAAACTTACACAGGTTTGTTGCTGATAAATTGATGTGCTGGCCGATATCTGGTGTTGGGTCTGAAGTCACCATGAGTTGGTGAGATTGTCAGTTGACAGGGACAACTGAAGAGCAAAACTGAACAGGAAGAAACTGGAAAAGGCTAGAAACTAAATTGAAATTTCATCTGTCTCAGTCTTAGATGTGCAGTTCTGTGCTCCATGTGATAGGAACTACACAGTCTTAAGACTGCCCGTGCTGAGCTAAGCCAGCCAACCAGTAAATGATGCATAAAGTGCCACAGTGCCTGTTAGCCTGCAATGTCTTCCAAAGTCTAAGAGCCAGGCCTGCTACTTCAGTTTTATTTTCGTTACCTTATTTTGTGTAGCAGTGGGCAAAATACCTGGCGGAAATAAAGGAGGGAATTGTATTTTCGTGTACATTTCTAGGGGAATTTTCAACTGCCATAGATGAGAAGGCATATAGCCAGTCAGGCAACTTGGTTTTGTTTTTGTTGTTTTTTTTTGTTTTTTGTTTTGTTTTGTTTTTTTCTGTTACAGAGTAGGAGGCATGGTAGGATAGGTCCAAGCAGGAGTATGTGACAGCTGCTTGTTTGCTTCATAACTTCCAAGGACCCCCGGCTCCCCAGTGGTCTATTTCTTTCAGCTAGACCACCTTCTAAAGGATCATAACCCCAACAGTGCTGCTGGCTAGAGATCAGTGTCCAAACACTAGAGCCTATGGGGCTCTAAGTTATATATCTTAACTGCAACATCTTGTTGATGACAGAAATCAGGTCTCTGAGAATGGTGAAGTCTCAGAAACTCAGTAGCCACCTAAGTAGCTTCCAGGTTCTTGACTCAGGAATTAAGAAGATGAAACTCAGAGGTCAAAGAGAGTGAAGTTTACAAGTTTATTACAGATTGATAGGTGGGAGCTTTAGTCAGGGATATAAAGCAGTGCTCCTGGATAGCAGAAGGATGTCCCAGAAAAAAAGAATATAAAGTGTAGACAGAGTTTTCCTGTCCCAATTGCTTGTTCCCAAATACCCAACAGTCGCTTCCCAAATAATTGACTCTGCAGTTTAATATAAATGCTTGCTCAATAGGTCAGGCTTATTACTAACTAGCTCTTAAAACTTAACCCATTTTTAGTAATCTCTGTGCTGTCCTGTGGCTTATGTCCTCAATCCTATTTTGTGTGTCCAACTCGTTTTCTGTCTCCAGCTCGTTTTCTGTCTCCAGCTCGTTCTCTGGCTGGCGACTCTTCTGACTCCACCCTTCTCTCATCCCATCATTCTCAGTTTGATTGTTCCATCCTGCCTTGCCTTGCTATCGGCCAATCAGCTTCTTTATTAACCAATGAAAGTAATACATATTCACACTGTACAGAAGGATTATTCCACAGCAACCAAGCTGTCCTTTAAAAAGTGCCCTTTTTTAAAGGAATGTGACAACAATGGGCTGGGCAAGCCTGGAGAGAACAATGTAGCAGGTGGCCCACCTGGGTGCAGGGTTTCATTCTCATTCTGGCCTTTAGGCAAAGGTGCTCATTTAGGAGAAAACATATAGGAGTCACATCTCTTTTCTGGCATTCTTGGCCTCAGGGAGGGCATTCCGAGAAGTGCTGCTTTGGGGGCCCTACCATACCTGACCAGTTTCTGTCTCCCGTTCTCATAGATATTTCTGTTTGGTCAACAGCATCAATATTCTGAGTAAGTTCCTAGAGTTGGGTCAAAGTTCTGATGAAGAGTCTTCTTGAGACCACCCTCAATTCAGACAGGAGCTGGAAGAGCAGAAACTCCCAGGCCACCCAGAGGTCGGACCGATTTGCTACAAAGTTCAGGGGTTTCCATTATACCTTAAGTGTTGAGTTTACCACAAAGACTCAGAATTCAGGAAAAAACTACACACAATTTTATTATAGCAAAAGGTCAAAATGAAAAGCAGTTCCCAAAGGAGATGCGGAGGAAAACAGGGAAGTTCTCAGAAGTGACGCTTCTGTGTTTTCTTCCCTTGGCCTCGGGTTGGATCACCTTCCTAGCAAAGCAAAGCATCACGGTCAGCCAGGAAACATGTCTGAGCTTTATTGTCCACTCAGAATTTTTATGGGCAGGCGGACAAGATGACTCAGCAGATAACGGTACCTGCTGACAACCAGGATCTTATTCCCAAGGCGATAATGCGCAACAAGGCGTTTTCCCCACCTCCTTACGGTGTCCTGAGGCAAACACACTGAAGCATACACTAATAAAATCTGTACATTTTTCAGTTTGGATTGAAGTTCCATAAAGTAGTCATCAGAGCTGGGTTTTTGACTGTGTCACTGAACCCAATCTTGCTTCTCTCCCAGGAGGTTCAAGCTAATATGCAGCTTAGAGCCCCAACCCTGTAATCACATAGCTGACCTTTGCCTGCTGCCCTAGTCCCAGCCTGAATGCTCCACCTTGATCTGCCTCAGTAGCATAAACTTTCAGGGCTCACCATTTGAAAATCATAATGAAAATACTGCTGCAACTTGAGAAATTCCAAGTATCTAGGCTTTCTCCCAGAGTTAGCAACAAAGCCCCAAATTCATTCAACGCCAACTCTAAGTAGAAACGGCAATAGAAGGGACATTCTGGAAACCATCATACTACCTTAGCTAAGGTGACAGAGCACAAAGCTATGTGGTACCATCATTTCTCCCTTACTCTATCAAGAAAATACTGGAGACAGGTGGTGGTGGAGAATGCCTTTAATTCCAGAACTCAGGAGGCAGAGAGTCAGGTTGATGTCTCTGTGAGTTCAAGGCCAGCCTGGTATACAGAGTGAGTTCCAGGACAGCCAGGGCTGTTACACAGAAAAATCCTGACTCAAAAAACCATCCTCCCCCAAGAAAAAGAACCACTCACCCACCCATCCCCCCAAAAAAGAAAGGAAAACGAAAACAAAAAGAAAAAATACTACTAGGCAGCTTTCCTGCTTCTTGTTACTTCCCTGTCCCACCACTAGCATACAGACTCTTCTGTGCTGTTACTTCCCTGTCCCACCACTAGCATACAGACTCTCCTTCTGTGCTGTTACTTCTTTCTCTTGAACTTTAGTTTTCAAGTGCTACAAATAGATTACCCTACTCTTCCTTCAAAACGTTGAACCCATCGAAGTAGGATGTGGGCAAAAGAACCTGGGGTAGGGAGTTTACGGGAAAGGGGAGGTACCGCTTAAGGAATGGACTGTAATTTGGTTCCTCTTGGCTGTGATAAGATGCTTAAACAAAAGTCACTTCAAGGAGAAAGGTTTTATTTTACTTTACAATCCCAGGCTACAGCTCATCTTTGTGAGGAAGTCAAGGCAGCAGGAACTTTGAAACAGTTATATTCACAGTTAAGAGCAGGGGGCTATGAATTAAATTACACAGACCAGAATTTCTTGCCGAGGGAATGGTGCCACCCACAGTGGGCAGGTCTTCTCACTTAATGTAATCAAGATAATCTGTTAAAAACATGTCCATGGCCTATCCTAATCTAGACAATCCTTAATTGAGATTTCCTTCTGAAGTGATTCTAGATTGTGCCAAGTTGACAAAACTAAACCGTGGGCCAGAGAGATGATTCAGTTGTTAAAGAGTATGTGTGACTCTTCCCGAGGACCACAGTTTGCTTCTCTGCACATGTACTGGGCAGCTGACAACCATCTGTAACTCCAGCACGAGGATTTGACAACCTCTTCTGACCTCTATGGGTTCCCACATAGATTAGGCACACACATACATATATAAACAAAAATAAATCTTCAAAGCAAAATCCCCCAGATCTTAACCATCACAGGGAAGGTAGTTTCAATTAGAGGAATAAATCTTATTGATCTTTTGCCTAGTATGATGAATATCATTAATATTAATGTATATTTCAAAAGTATTTCATTGCAAGTAAATAGTATTTGAGATGAAGGCAGTGGATTTGCTAGTTATCTCTATTGATCATCCTACAATAAATGCTTCTACTTGTCAAAAGCAAAACAAAACTTAAAAAATAAGTCATTTCTTCTCTTTTGTTTCTTAATAAACGTCTGAACATATATACATTTTTTGAGGTTTAATTATGATGTTTTGCAGTTTGCACTGTTCAATGTTCTTTATATCCTGTGTCTTTAATTATATAATAGTCAGTTTTTCCTTGGACTTTTAATATTAAGACCAAAACAAGCTTTATCATATCACTTTTTAATAGCATTATACAGATATATTTAATTTTTATGAATTTTGATATCAGTAAGGAGAAACGATTGGCAAATATAAAATTATGCTGTCATATTTAGCTTGAGTATTGGTACATTAATGTGTAAATGTGAATTCTTTTCTTAGAAACTAGTTTTATTACTGCATGCTAAACCATTTTCAACAGTTTTATAGAAGAGAAATTCCAAAGATTATATACTAAGTGGAGCCAAATTCATAGCTAATCAGTCTAATTCTAGAAACCAGGTTCTTTGCTTCCCTGCTTACTTGAATTAGGTGTGACAACATAAGGGGATATGTATTTGTAGCGAGTGTTTCTCAGTCCTGCCAGCTAGCAGGACTAAATAATGACACAGAGACTTATTATTTATTATGAAAACTCAGCCTATAGCTTAGGCTTGTTCCTAGCTAGTTTTTTATATTCATTTTGCATATATAAATATGTGCATATATGTATGCACACATATGTGTGTATGTTTCCTTTTTTATTGATTTTTATTGAGCTCTACATTTTTCTCTTCTCCCTTCCCTGCCTCTCCCCTCCCCTTCAACTCTCTCCCAAGGTCCCCATGCTCTCAATTTACTCAGGAGATCTTGTCTTTTTCTACTTCCCCCTAACTAGTTCTTGTAATTTAAATTAATCCATTTTTATTAATCTACATCTTGCCACGAGCATGGCTTGCTGTGGAATGATCTTTCTGTATGCTGTGAATATGTATTCCTCTCATTGGTTAATAATAAAAGCTGTTTGACCAATAGCCAGGCAGGATAAGGTTAGGCAGAACAATCAAACTGAGACCTCAGATGAGGAGGGGTGGAGTCAGCAGAGACACCAGCCAGCCACCAGAGGAGCAAGATGTATTAGAGCGCAGGTAATGCCATGAGATATGTGGCAAACATAGATTAATAGAAATAGGTCAAAGGTAAGAGCTAGTTAGTAATAAGCCTGAGCTAGTTGGCCAAACATTTTGTAATTAATATTAAGCCTCTAGATGAGTTTTTAGAAGCTGCTGCAGGTTGGGGGCATAACAGAGAAACCCCCAAATACATTACCTCTTTTTCTTTTTTTAAATTATCTCTTTTATCCTCTACTTCAACTTGTTCATCTCCTGTCATCTCCCTGGCTTCTATCTGGCATAATTTGTGCACCTAGATTACTCCTTCTTTTCCTTTCCCAGAAATTCTGCCTAGCTATTGGCCATTCAGCTCTTTATTAAACCAATTACAGCAACACATCTTCAAACAGTGTAAAAATATCACCCAACAGTAGTTGATATGATGGCCTGATATTTGAAACTTGTTTTCTCCTTTGACATAGGGTCTCATATAACCTAGGCAGGTCTTGAACTCCCTATATGGCCATGGATGGCCTTGAACTCACAAATCTCCTGTCTCCGTTTCCCAGGAGAGAGCCACCACTCATGGTTTACTTTTGTAAAATAAAAAATTGTGGGCCAGCAAGATGGTTCAGTGGGTAAAAGCACTTGCTTCATACCTACTTAGCTGAGTCCAATTCCCTAGAATCCACATTAAAAAAGCAGAATGCCTTGTAGGGCACACACCTTTAATCCAGCATTCTCAAAGCAGAGAGGCAGAGGAGGCAGAGAGGGGCAGAGGTAGGTGGATCTCTGAGTTCCAGGCCAGCCTGGTCTATAGAGTGAGCTCCAGGACAGCCAGGGATACACAGAGAAACTCTGTCTCAAATGCCCCCGCTCCCAAGCTGTATGTGATTGCATGCATCTGTAATCCCAGCATTCCTTCAGTGAAATGGGGGGCAGAGACAGGAGAGTTGCCTGAAGGATCAAAGGTCAGCTTGTCTGGAATATAGAGCAAGGCAGAAACAGTAAGAGGGACCATGCCTTTAAACAGGTGGAAGGAGAGAACTGATTCCTGACGTGGTGTACACGTGCGCCTTTCCCCACATATGTATAAACACTATACATATAAACACTAGCAGCAGCAACAGAACCAATACACCAAATAAAAAATTCCAGGTTGTTTGATTTTGTAATTTCAGTACTTTTTTCTCTACATGATAATAGAAAAGGTGGCCGGGATCTAACTACTTGTGCAACCATAGTTTGTGTCCCAATAAATGAAAGGCAAAATTGGCGCCATTGTAAAATTTTTGTTAATCCTGATTTTGATATACAAAGATGTATTGATAATCCATGTTAAAGTATGACTACTTGTGTTCTTTCTAAAGTTTTTAAGCCCTTGGAATAAATGATATCCTTGCATGACTCAAAACAAAAAACCTGTATGTTGAGAATTATCACTCCACTCTTGCTTCTTCTAACTGCTCCTTCCCATTTGCCAGCAAGTAATCAGTTTGTTAGTTGAGTGTGATTCCAGTGTTTGTTTTCATTTCACCTCTCTCGTTGCACTTAGTCGTTTTTGTGCTTAACAGTATAATTCAGATATCTTGAGTTGTGATTATTTGGATGCAATTTTTGTGTATCTGGTAAAGAATGCCCTTCAGCAAATTTGCATAATTAAAACATCTTTACAAACGTTATTATCTTGCTTTATTTTGACATCAGTGTACATTATACTTTTCTTTAGAAAAACAAACAATTAGTATAATATTATAAATGTTATTAATATTTCTTTGCCCGAGAAACAAAAGGGTGAGCTAGCTCCTGGTGACAAGGACAGAGGCTTTTTTCCCATTTGTTCCATTATCTCGGAACATTTCACAGATAGGAAAGTAGTCACTTCCTTACTTATCAAAGAAATAGCTCCAGATCAAAAATAAAGTACCCTAATTTTAGAAATTAAAACTCTTAGATTTACCTCTGTGTTTCCTGAGTATGGATTCAACTTGAGCAGCTTCCTTAAGCTCCTGATGCCAGGACCTCCCTGCCATGAAAGACTGTATTACCAAACTGTAATACAGTGAGCTGACATACTCTCCCCCAACACAATCCCCCCCCAATCCTAAACCAACCAACAAATAAATAAATGAATACACAGACCCCTACTTTAACCAGTTGTAATGAACATCAACTAACTTCGGAAGTGAATTCTTTGGCATTTGCGTTGGCTTTCCATTAGAGTAACAAAGTACCTGTGATAGCAGCTGAGGAAAAAGAATGATTTGCTTTGGCACACAGTTTCAGAGGTTTAAGTTCAGGGTCAGGTGGAGTCACTGCTTTTGGGCCTGTGGTAGGGTGGTGCATGTTAGCGGGGAACATGCTGTGGAATCAAGCCTCCCCACACACAGCTGAGATGGAACCGAGCAGGAGGAAGGAGTGGAGATCTCACTATTTCTGTCAAGGTCATACTTCCAGTGACTGGAAGATCTATCATGAGGTCCCACCTTTCAAAGTTTTTCACAAGCTCTCCACACGATGCTGAATCAAGCCTTTAACACTCTGGCCTTTGACAGACTTCCAGATCCAAATTCCAACAGCTTTGTAGTCCAGTGTGCCATATGTGTTAAGTACTTAGCTTGTGTTTGTTAAACTGAATTGACATAAAATGTACTTCACATCTAATAAAAACCAGGGTGGCCATTGTATACAAGGTACACTCAGCTTATTTTATTTTTAATAATGAATGTGGAGGAGATATGAATAAAAAAAAATTTCTGGAGCCAAAGATGTTACCTCATGATTGTAATCCCTGAACTTGGGAGGCAGGAAGGCTGTCATAAGTTTGAGGCCAGTCTAGACTACATAATGAGTGAGACCCCTTTTCAAACAAAAATGAAACAAATAGACAAAACCCTGTTTCTATAGCAGAAAACAGGGACAGTGCATGCAACTTCTAGGTCACGTCTCCTTCCTTCCAGGAAAGACCCTATCTCACAGCTAAATTCACAATATTCTAGCCTTGCCACATGGATTTGTACAAATTCCAAAAATTGTTATAGACATGGAAGGGAAGAAATTAGCATACCTATCCAGTATCTCTAGTTAGATGAAACTATGTATAAATCCAAATCCACTTTCCTTTACCATTTTCTGTTTTATGAGTTCTTTAGAATTTAGGGGAAATGAGTGTTTTATTTATGGTAACAACATTAATCTGTACTTACCATTGAATCAGGAGCATATTACTATAGCTGAATAAACATGGACACTTCACAAAAGTCCACACATCATTTCTGTTGATTTTTGAGACAGGGTTTCCTGTGATATATTTACATAGCTGTACTTTCAACCATTAATTGTTCAAAGAAAAAATCATGGGCATGGCTGATAAACCAAAAATTCAGTTTTTTAAAAAAGATCGATTTTATTTGTGGTGTGTGTGTGTGTGTGTGTGTGTGTGTGTGTGTGTGTGTGTCTTTACTGGTGCCCATTGAAGCCTGAAGAGGACAACATATCCCATGGAATTGGGGTTACATTCTCTGCAAAAGCAGTCAAGTACTCATAACCTTTTAGCCATCTCTCCAGACTAAAGATGTGGCAAGCAGAAGGTATTCTTTCAAAATGTAAAGAAATAGGTACTTTAGAGTGGTAATAAGCCCAGCTGATAAAAGTTTCTATATGGTCAGGCATGGACTTAGGAGGCAAAGTCCCAGGCCACCTAGGGTTTTCTAGTGAATCTCTAGATTCTCTAGAATCTCTAGTGTTTTTGTCTCAAAAACAAAAACAAAAACAAAACAAAAACCCAAACAAACAAAAAACAAAAAAAAAACCCAAAAAACAAAACCCCAAAACAAATTTCTATAAGCTACTGGAGTTCTCCTTCATATGAATAGGGTCACAAATGATTATAAACTACAAGCAGTATAACAGTATGCTTCACTAGGCAATGCTGTTATATAACTTACATCTCTATCTGCAGAGAAATTGTCCATCTCCTACACGGTTCCAAGATCTTTCCGTTTCTCTGGCCAAGCTTGGCAGGTTGAGTAGACAAAAATCCACTAGTAGGTTGCAGCATCTGCAGCTCTGGTTGGGCAACAATGGTTCTCACAGAACCAGCTCACCAGGTAGGAATTACTACGCCACCAACCACAGCTCTGTAATTATTGGCAACCCAACTTTCAGAAAAAGTATGTGATTCAAGACTGAGCACGTTCGTGACAAAACTGCCCTTTGCAGAGGTGTTTGCTACTAAGCTAAAATGTAAGCGATCCCGACATGGTCCCTTCCAGCGGAGTTGGTGAAAACCGCAGCCTTAGTGGGAGATTAAGAACCTTTTGATCAAAACCAGAATGGATGACAGAATCAGAGTGGACAGAACAGGCAGAGCTGTTTCAGTCGGCTTTAGTCGGCTGCAGAAATCATACAAGGGCATAATTTGAGAAGTTTAAAAGTAGAGTAGTATAGGATCTAACAACCGAAACACGGCCCACACGTTTCGGCAACCTGAGACAAGGCTTCTGCCAATGACGGAAAAGGAACATTTATGGAACACCTGATATGTGCAAAGTCATCTCTCAGACAAGAGCCCATTTAAGGACTTCTAAACGATGATGGCGGATTTGGCCTTGTAGCTCAAAATAGCACGTCATTCTCGGATTCTAAGTAAATAAGAAATATACTCAATACGTGGAAGGGAGGGGCAGGTTAAAAAAGGGGGGGAGGTAGCAATAAGGGAAAGATGCATTTTTAAAAATTCTTAAACAGATAATCAGATTCTTTTTTCAAGTAAAACCTTTTCATCTCCGCGGCTCAGAACTAATAAAAACTAAGGAGTGATAACTCCTGGAAACAGACAAACTTTAGCAATGAAATACAAGCGAGTCCCGTAACATCCGAAAACACGTGGCGGGGGAGGGGAGCTGGCGGCTGGACCAAGGACTCCCACTCCCACCAGCCCTTTCGGCAGCCAAGTATAGCTGTGGAGGGCCAGTCGGCGCACGGCATTTCGGAGCTTGTAGTCTTCTCCCGGCACCTCCCCGTGGGTTTGCGACGTTTAGCGACTGTGGCGCCTGCGCGCGTTGGGCCGGCGGGGCTAGGGCCGTGGCGGCTCGTGCCGGGTGATGCTAGGCGTATCCCTGGGCTCCAGGCTGTTGCGGGGCGTGGGTGGCAGGCACGGGCAGTTCGAGGCTCGAGGTGTCAGCGAAGGTGGCGCAGCCATGGCGGCAGGGGAGAGCATGGCTCAGCGGATGGTCTGGGTGGACCTGGAGGTGAGCGAGTCCGGCTGGGGGTGCGGGGAGACGAGCAAGGGACCGAAGGACCCACCTGTTCCAGGAGGCGGCGGGGGTCCGGGTGTCAGGTGAGGCAGGTGAGCACAGCACCGGGAGCCCGAGCTAGGAGTTCTGCGCGGTTCTGGGACTGTGTTGAACTATGGGGTTTCTTTCCATCTGGGTGGAGCCATCCGTGTGTCTTCCCTCTCAGCAGCCTCGACCTCCACCCAGGTGTGAATTTGCCTAACGCTCTAGTGTCTCTGGCTCAGGATCAAGGGTGGGAGTGAGGACAGCGACTTGAGCGTCCCCTCATCCTTCCCCCCCCCCCCCACGCCTTAAAAAACTAGGTTGCTTAAGCTAGTTGGTACTCAGGAGATGACTCAGCCCTACCCCTCATTCCATAAAAGAGAAAATTGAGGCCCCAGTTGAAGATTCAAGTTACTCAAAGGGCACTGGGAACAGAACCCTTTTTAGTTTTAACACATTCATACCTGGGCCTGCCTCGAGCCCCAGTTTTCTCCTTACAAAAAGAGTTTAGTTGTTAACTTTTTATGTTAGATTATGATAAAAGATCAGATGTTGGAACAAATAGGAAACTTTCATAAACTTCAGATAGGTAATGTTAGTGAGCTCACTTTTCTGTAATTGAGTGTGGTGTCTATCTTGTTTACCTTGTGACTGTTCCCAGGACAAACACATTTGCCAATAGCTCTAGCTCCCTGGTTATAGTGTCTGTTGCAGTTTCTGCAGCTTCCGAGCGCTCAGAACTCACTACCTCCATTCTGCGCAGGAATCAGCCATTGCTGATCCTAGAATGCAAGTGGGGTACGCACAAAGGTATCTCTATTAAACTTGGGCAGAAGAGGTTTACAAAAAGTGATTTCACGTGTTATATGCTTTTTTTTTTTTTTTGCAGATGACAGGATTGGACATTGAGAAGGATCAGATTATTGAGATGGCCTGTCTGATAACCGACTCTGATCTGAACATTTTGGCTGAAGTAGGTGATGCCGTGTAAATACATTCATACCACTTAAAGGGCACTGGGAATCTAAAGATGGCTTCTTCCACTCAGATTGAAAAATTTAGTGGATTGAGGTCTATGTAGATTAAGGTTCACCATATCATGCTAGGACATGTTAGAATTGGTACTTGGACCAACATTGAAGTAGAACCAGTTATAAGATTTTTCAATTGAAATTTATAGAAACAAAGGTATCTTTTTCTTCTGAGGGCTAAATAGCCATGAAGGTTCTTATGGCCATCAGTAGGTTCTGTTAATGATGCTCTTTTTATACCTGAAGACATTGGGTTACAGAAATCTGGGGGACTTAGCTAGGTTTTGGGGAAGCTGGTTAAACTACTCTCCAAATCCATGGTCTCAAGTGCACCTAACCAGTAGTCCAGCCAGCTGTGGTCCTGTCAGGTGACCTTTTCCAGAGTTTTCCATCTTTATATCATAGCTTTGACTTTAATTCCATATATAGTCATCCCTTCACTGCTCATAGGGGCTCGGTTCCAGGATTCCTCTGTAGGGACCAAAGTCTCATGTGCCTACATCCTTTACCTAATGCGTACTTGGAATCACCTCTAGATTGCCTGTTGTCATTCTTCCTGCAGCATGCCTGTGCAATGTCTGTGCATGGAAGTAGTTTTTACACTAGGAATAAGGAAAAAAAAATCCATATACGTTCCTAACAGACAGATGATGTTAGGTCTGAGTTGGTTGAATCCTCACAGACAATATCCATTGTTCCAGATGGCTGGTTGCCTTTTCAGCTGGATGTGTGCTTCCTGCATGGCTGTGTTAGGGTCCTAGACCATTGTTGATGCACTTCTAGACACTTCTGAATTTGTATCCCAGTACCTTCCTGTATCAGGTGTCTCACAAGCACCCATAACTCCAGCTCCAAAGAACTTGGCGGCCCTTTTCTGGCCTCCATGGTTACCTGCACCAGACACATACATATATATATAGGATAAAACTGCACAACAAACAGAACAACAACCAAACCCGCAGAGAGTAGGGATGCGGTGGAAAGGGGAGTCTTATTAATAACACGTTCTCAGAGGGTAGGCTGGATGGATGCTGGAGCGGTAGACATCTCCTAAACCTAGTTAGAACTTCTTTTTATTCCCTGGTTAGGCAGAGGAGATAAGGCATTCTTAGCTGGGCATGATGTCACACGCTTTGCAAGGCAGAAGCAGGCAGATCTCTCTGAGTTTGTGGTCTGGCTGGTCTACAGAGTGTCAGGTCAGCCAGGACCACACAGTGAGACTGTCTCAAAACAATGACTGCGGCAACAACAAAACTCAAAAAAGAACGAAAAAGGGACATTAGAGATGAATCCCTGTCTTGTAGTGGCATCAGACCTATCTAACATCTGGAAGAGAACCAGAGATTATTTCTTGTAACAACTTCTTTAAAACTTAGAAGTAATTGAATCAAGCACCGAACTGTAGGTTGGCTTGCTTATCTTTCTGGCTTGCAGCTGACCGATGATTAACAGTCAAGTGTTGTTATTTTACCAGCTCTGCTTAGCCTTGGCCAAAGAAGTATTTTTCTTTTAGATTCTTTGACGACCCAAAGTATGATTTAATGGATCAGTTGGTTGATCTGTACCCTGGGGGAACTTCGGGTGTGTGTCCATACAGTTGCTCATGAATAGAGGATTTGTTTAATGGCTTAAGTCAGATGAGGATAAGGGTGCTAAAGAAAATACTTAAGAGATGTCAATTGTGTGGAAAGTGTGTTTTATTCTCATGTGAGGGTCTGAGGAATGTGTTTTTTGGTTTTTGGCTTTTTTGTTTTGTTTTGTTTGTTGTTTTTGCTGCTAGAAGCATCCTGTTTTGCAAGCTTAATTGAATGTCTTAGGTTGCCAAAGGGCAGTCTAGAAGAAGTCAGTAGATTTGTAGTATGTCTTTTCTGTACTTTAGTTTTTTTAAATGTTTGTTTTATTTCTCCACCGAGATTATCAATATCTGTTTTTGTATTTGGCTACAATTCAGTTTCAGATAGTAGGCCTGTTTTAGACTAGCTGTTCAATTTCAGCTATAGGAGCTCAGCAGGGCCTTTGCTTGCTGCCAGTCCTAGTGACCTGAGTTCAATCCTTAGGAACCACATGGTGGAAGGAGAGGACCAATTCCTGTCCTGTGTCTTACACACACACACACACACACACACACACACACACACACACACACACACGTGTGTGTTTTACACTTACATTCTTGCATAGAAATAAATAAAAACTCAATATAAATTTTAAAAAAGGAGATAAGCTGTGTTGATTAAATTTGAATTCCTCAAAGCAATTGAAATCCATTTTTACCACCTTACTAGTCATAATTCCTTGCATTAAGTAACAGTCTTCTGCAGAGTTCACATAAGTTGCCTGTAATTTCTTGCATTCTGTTAGCCCCTGATGAGGAAAGCTAGACCTTCTTATGACCTTTTTCTTATGAGGAGTGGTTAGCTTAGTTCTACTGGTCAGGCTTCCTGTTAGACTCTGGAGTGCACTGGAGGGCTGGCAGACTGACTCAGTGGGTAAAGGCGCTTGTGACCAAGACTGATGACCTGAATTTGATCTCAGAACTCAACTGGTAGAAGGAAAGAACTGTCTCCCACAAGTTGTTCTTTGACCTCCATGATGATTCTGTTACAAGTGTGTGTGTGTGTGTGTGTGTGTGTGTGTGTGTGTGTGTGTGTGTGGCGTGCAGATAAAATTTAAGGGCCAGAGAGATAGCTGAGCAGTTAAAGCAATGTACTGCTCTTACAGAGGACCTGAGTTCAGTTACCAGTATCTCTGATGGGCAGCTCACAGTTTATAAATCCAGCTCCAGGGGCGCTGTGCTCGCTGGCCTCTAAGGATACCAGCACACATGTGCAAAGGCACACACATGTACATAACTAAAACGAAATCTTGAAAGACTTTCTTAATTTAAAGAAATTTGTAAATGGAACTGAGAAGTTGAGGGCCAGTTTTTTCTTCAGATATTAGTTATATCTTTAAAAATATTAGCTTCTTAAATATCAAACTAGAACTACAGATTATAACTTGATTCCCAGGACATGTATAGCAATCCGTTGTCCATTTGATTCTCTTCCTCAGTTCTATCCTCTCCAAAGTGTTTGTATTTTCTTCATATTTTGTATGCAGATATCAATATGTATTTAAAAAAGAAAGGATGTTGTCGGGGTAACAGCTTAGTCAGTAACGTGCTTGCTGTAAAAGCAGAGTACCCTGAGTTAGATCCTCACCCCGATGAAAGAAGCCAGCCTGGTGGTGCACATCTGTAACTCCAGTTCCAGGGAGGTAGAAATAGGGGTCTCTATGAGGGCTTGCTAGGTAGCCTAATTGGCAAGCCGTAGGTCCCTCCGTGGATGGCTCCTGGAGGAACCACACCCAAGATTGCCCTCTGACCCCACATGCTTGTGCATATACACCCCTCTCCCTAATACACCCATAAATAAATACAATTTGAAAGTAGGGTTATTTCTGTTGATTCTTACATAGCTCTGGCTGGCTTAGAACCTGTCCTGTAGACCCAGCAGCCTCAAAAGTCGAGGAGATCCGTTTCTGTCTCAGTGATTAAAGGTGTGCATCACCATGCCCAGCCTCTGTTGATTTTCCTGATGACTAATGGCTTTTCCCACCCACAGGGTCCCAACCTGATTA